CCTTGAAAAAAACATTCGCCCATTTCTCAACTGGAAGGTTTTTCAAGAACTTATCAGCAACGACTTCTCCTTCACATTGAAACACATCAAGTTTTTCCTTGAAAAATGTCTTTGTCGGAGCATAAGCACACAATGTAAATAAAAAAACCATATGCTCACGAAACATATGTGTGAAGCGACCTCCACTAAACTTATCCCTCAGATTTGCTTTTAGGTGTTATAAGTAGAATGAATGGTGCACTGTTGGGAACACCTTTGGCATTGTTTCCATCAAGCCAACATTGCAATCAGACATAATGGTAAGGTTCTTAGTTTTATCAACAATCTCAGCTAATTATTCTAAAAACCAACACCAATTACACTCATTTTTTGAATCAACAACAGCAAAAGTCAAGGGGAACAAACCTGCAATGCATATAACAACACAAACAGTAGCATAAGTAAATAGTAACATAAATACAAATATTAAAATGCAACAATAAAATAAAATCAGTAACACCAAATTAAACAAAAAAAAAATCACCTTGATTTCCATCTTTTGCAGTAGCAAACAAAATAATGCATTTATACCTTCCTTTTAAAAAAGTACCATCAATGAACAATATGGTTCAATAGTAATNCCAAATTAAACAAAAAAAAAATCACCTTGATTTCCATCTTTTGCAGTAGCAGACAAAATAATGCATTTATACCTTCCTTTTAAAAAAGTACCATCAATGAACAATATGGTTCGATAGTAATTAAATCCATGTATACGTGCCTTAAATGACATGAACAACCTACTAAAACGTTGCGTGTCTGAATCACCTTCCAACACAAAATGACTACCTAGATTGCTTTCATTAGCAGCCTTTACATACCACCGTAATTGTTTGTATGACAACGAATGATCTCCAAACAACATACTCCTTGCTTTTTTGACACCCCTCCAAGCTTGATCATACAATATGGTCAAACCATAATTTGTATGAAACATATTTTTCACATCAACTGGTCGTGTGTCAGGTTTTTGTCGGACGTTGTCAACAATAAGACCTTCAACAAAATTAGAAGTCAATCTTTTGTTCTTTGTCGTACGTACAGTCAAACCACACATGTGCTCATTATTTAATTTGTTAATGTAAAATTATCCATTTATCCGTTGGAGTGTAGCAACAACAAACCACTCACACCCAGCCAAATATTTCATGACACATTCAACCGTCACCCTTGTGTTTTCATTCTTTACATAATTAAACTAAAAACCAACCTCGATTGCATATTTGCATAAAACATTCCAAAAATCAACTACTCCTCCCTCAAACTTCTAACCAACCTCTACTATTCCATTTGCCCTTCCATCAGTCAACAAAACATTTTCATTGTGAGAACAAAAACGAGAGAGAAGATCATCCTCCCGACCAAAAGGGTCAATAGTTAATTCAAAACTTTCCACTACTTCCCCACCCTCAAAAATATGAACCTCATTCCCTGTAACATCAACAACATTCAGCTGAACAGATCGTGTAATTAAAAACATGTTTCTCACATCATGATCATTTTTGCAAAACATAATTCGGATGTCCAGGAATAACATACGACAAGGCAACACAATTGACACCCAACCCATTCCACTTGTCACAAACAACATGTAACATATCATCAAATGTGAAATTCATTGAAATTCTTAGCACAACAGTCTCAAAAGAATACTTGCAACAAACCAAAATGTTATCCTCTATCTATTATAACCAATAAAACAAAATGAAAGGGGAAAAAAAACAAACATAATCAATTCTAATTCCAATAAATCACTACCAGTAACATGAAAACAAACTTATAACCTAATTTAAAAAAAAACTGCAATAATGAACGTCGTGATACGAATACAGGAAAGTGACATTGAATTGCAGCAATAACAAATGGAAAAGAAACGAAAAAAAATCAATTCTAATTCCAATAAAAGCACGAACAGTAACATGAAAAACAAACTTGAAAAAAGAAAATAACTCCAGTGAAAAAAGTTGCACAACTAAATTCTGGTAATTAACATACAATTTCCTACAAGTAACTTCAATTTATGGTAAAATGTTCAAACAACACTATCAATCATATTATGTAAATAAGTCAATTATAATGAAAATATCTTTGGAAAGCAAGAACCAGTAAATTGACCTGGAATCACAGCAAAATTCGAACTCCAATTGCTGCTTTGTATCACCTTCGACACTCTTATCAAACAAAAATGACATAGCAGGTATAGTGTGAAGAAGAAAGATACCGACTGCTTTCAAGAAATAAAAAAAGCCGTTCAAAGTCTTGGTGAGATAGAAACATGTATAACAGACAACAATTTGAATATGAATTTGAATTGTTAATAAAAAATTTTGATCTGAATTTGAGTTAATATCCCAATAATTTAGACGTAATTCATGTAGTCAAATATGAAGTATTATGTTTCCATAAAAAAATGAATAAGATGTTCCCATATATATCTCACAATATCTAACTTATAACTTTCCATAATTTTACAAAATTAACACCGTTAGGGGTGTTTTTGAGATTAAAAAAAATGGACTTAAGTCATTACATATAGTTTAAAACATGGACTTAGCCCCCTATAAGTTTCCTTGTCGGACTTATCTCCAAAGAAGTACATCTGGGAGCACTCACATCTAATTTTCACTATATTTTTCTAACTAAACGGTATAATTCGAGGAGAGAATGGAAAAAGAAAAGTTGGAATATATATATCAAGATCAATAGGATTGTGTAACAAACCTTGATCAAACAAAATCAAGGTCTCGTGACTAAGTTCTTGCAACAAGGTATCGAGGTAAGGATTCCCATTGCAGGCTTCGGTGGCAAGGTCCCGTTGTAGGGTGTGTTTCTGTACCTAATTAATACTTGAGATACTTGTCACCAGTTTATTAGTTTGCACCGCATGTGCCTAGGCCACACGCGTGTGAATACCTTTATATTCTCACAAGAACAATTTTGGGGGATGGATGTAAATCCTTAAGCTCTAAGTCTTGAGGATACAACCTCTCTCTCTTCTCCTCCATCCTTCACACCCCCCCCCTCTTGGGTCCCTCCGGTTGTGATGAGTATGAACTCATTTAACCTCTCTCTCTCTCTCTCCCCGTTTTCCTCCATCCTTCACACCCCCCTCTTAGGTCCCTCCGGTTTTGACGAGTAAGAACTCACTCTTGGGTCCCTCCGGTTGTGACGAGTATGAACTCATTTAACTCGCCATCTACATTAGCCAATGAACTTTTCCTTGTGTTGACAAATAGTAATAATTTAAAATCAAATAAGTGAAGTAGTCACCGATCACAATCATACACACTATCTAAAATTAAACTTTTGTACTAGGGTCCACTAGCCTGGTTTTCAATGGATTGGAAGCCATGCTTCTTTATATTTTTCAACTTTTATACCAAATGATCTCGGATCTAGGTATGAGAGACTATAAGGATAATAATTCACTTCTTATTCCAACCGTGGAATAAAATAAAGAGTAATGTTAATTCGAGTTAATTTATTGCTCTAATTTATTGACCTCATCAATCTCTATCATTTGATTAATTGGATTTCAATATTGATTGTGCTCGTTACTTGTAGATAGTGATGAACGAAGATAATAAATTAGATCAACAGATTAAATCTAAATAATATTAATATAAAATAAAAAAATTAGCCAATTATTCAAGCATGTACCATATTGTATTCCAAACAAGGGAAGCTCTATGGTATTGGAAAAAAATTTCTATATCGATATCGCCGATTACCATTTTGTATGGTAAACTNCAAGCATGTACCATATTGTATTCCAAACAAGGGAAACTCTATGGTATTGGAAAAAAATTTCTACATCGATATCGCCGATTACTATTTTGTATGGTAAAGTTACAATTTTGAAATGAGAAATTACAATTGTTCAAAAGAGGTCATGATCAATTACAAACACTCATAATCGATCATGAATAATGTGATATCGATATCAATATTCCATGATCGATTATACTTTTTAAAATTGTAACTTATATCTNGTTCAAAAGAGGTCATGATCAATTACAAACACTCATAATCGATCATGAATAATGTGATATCGATATCAATATTCCATGATCGATTATACCTTTTAAAATTATAACTTATATATCAAAAAAATTATACCTTTACTTTACAAAATTGTAATTTTTTGTACCAGTACCGCAATTCCCCCAACCAAACACCCCTAAAAAATCTTGGCTCCGGTGTATTGTGATTCTCGGACAAACTACCAGAAATAATCACAAGGCCTTACAAAAACAGACTGCTATGAAGTCATGTAAACACTATATCCAGATAATTTTTTTTTTTTTTTTTGGGATTTAAGTTTGTGCTGACTATTATCTTGAACTCGGATACTAACTATTATAGCTCAAACAAATTTTATGAGAAATAAGAATGATTAGCTCTAGGAATATGAAAAGTATTGTACTTGAAATATTTAGGTTATCAGAGACTAAGTTCAGTCACCGAACTACTCCTATAGGTTCAGATAAATTTTCCATTTGATCAAAGGTCATTATTGCTAAGATTTAGGAAAGAACTCCCAATCTAATTTGGAAAGGTTGGCTTCAATGCACATTCAAGCTCGGCAAGAAAGACTTAAATATCTTCTCCAACTCTTACTCAGTTAGGGGTCATAGTTTTTGACACAACACAATAATACGATTCAAAATTGATACAAACATAGTAGGTTAAGATTAATCATTTCTCAACATAAATTCGCTTATGACACGACTTGTTAACACGAATAATAAATGAGTTGGGCTAGTATCAAACATGAATAATAAAAAATTGACACGATTAATAAATTTAAGTAGTATTATAAAAATAAAATAGTAATTTTTTATTATATTTTGCCAAATAGTGAATTAATTCTTGAAAAAAATATTTTACTCATTTATTATTATTATATTTATTAAATTAATTTTTAGTTTATAAAAAAAATATGAGCATAAGTTCGATTAAGTAATAATGAAATTTTAGACATAAAATTGAGTATTAATTTTTTATTTACGAGTTATATTGATCGATACGAATACGACACGAAAATAAATTGGTTGACATGACGTGACACTATTATTCAATCGAGTTGAAATATAATTGACTAAGATTTGACCCGAACTATAAATAATCCGACCCGATTGTCGCCTCTAAACTAAGTCCAACGCTGGTTTTTGGAGAAAACGCCACCAATTCTAATTAGGAAAGGTTTGATTTCCAAGCAACTATAACCCACAAATACTATCCCGCGTATAAACAATTACAAAAAATCTTATTAGGAAAGGTTTGGAAAGTAAAGGATTAGTACTAGTATGATCAAGTTAGAACTCCCATTCCTCCTAAAAATCAAAAACCAGTTAGGTTCTCTGCTATATATGCATATGGGTTCTTCTTCTCTTTTACTTTTCAACAATTCCCCCATAACAAACAACAAATTTCTTGCTCCGCAATTGACAGCTGATATGACGAAGGGTATTGAGCCAGATCCTTCGCTTGATAAATTCGAATGGCTAGTAATGGCTGCGATGATCAAATACGATGAAGAAAAGTTGCAAGAAAGTAGGGTGGAGAATCAGCAGCAACCGCCTGTTACCGGCCAACCCGCCACGTCCGGTGACGACGAGTCCTCTGAGAAGCCTTCTGTGTCAGATTCAGTTCTTCAATGTTCCAACAAGATAAAGAAGCCGATGGTATTAGACGATACAGACTTGTATTACAATCAAGATGCACCTGATGAGTACTTCAATCAGATGTTATCTCAGGTGCTTGAGCTTGAGCTTGAACCATCGATGGTTGAAAGGGCGATGAAAGAGAAGGCATGGGTGAGACCTATTATGATGACAAACCCAATCCTCAAGGGTAAGTCCGAGGCAGAGAAAGAGAACTCATCGACAAGGCCTGTAATGGCATACCCAGAGGGTGTGTGCAGAGAAGAGAATGTGAACAGGGAAAGATTGCTAAAGAAAACTCAGGCGAACGAGTTCTTCGGTAGGCCTTTCTCTGGTGTGCTTGATATATCGAAGGGTGAAAGGTTGACGAAAGAGAAGTCTTCGAAGAGGGCTGTTATGGCATACCCAGATGGTATTTCCAGGGAAGAGGTCCTAAGGAGAGAGAGATTGCTCAAGAAACCGGTTGTAGAGATCCCACGAAAGATGTCTCCAAAGGATTTGAAACGACACAAATTTGAATTTGATGACAGTGATGAAGATTATAAGGTCAAGAAGAAGAATAAGATCAGCAAGAGTGTGACGAAAAAAGTTACTGATCAGGGTCCAAATCCACCACCCCCATTGCCTATTGAATTCAGAGAACGTATTTGCGAGATGGGTGGTTCGGAGAAGGACGCTGTGTTGGTGATACAGAAGCCATTGTTTTCGACAGACACAAGTTCTGGTCATAACCGCTTTTCGATTCCGTTGAGACAAGTAAGGTCTGAGTTTCTCGACGACTCTGAGAAAAACTACCTTAAAAATCATAACGGGAAGGCTGTGGCTGCCATGGAAGTGACCTTGATTAGCCCCACGCTTGAAAAGTGGAAAGTAGGGTTCAGGAGGTGGGAGATGAAGAAGGAAACAGGCAAAACTAGCTCATGTTATGTGATAAACTCTACGTGGAGAATGATTCAGAAAAAGAATGGTCTTAAACCAGGAATGGTTATGCAACTATGGGCGTTTAGGTTTAATGGCGAACTGTGTTTTGCTCTCGTCAAGCTTCCAAGAGGAGGAGGGGGAGGAGGTGGTGTTGGTAGCAATGGCGATGGAAGTGGTCCAAGTACTGATAATGGTAAAGACAAGACATCACCACCTTCTTCATCCGAACCAGGGCACTATTAGGGTTGATTTACTTTTGAACCTATTTGTTTATCTAGCAATTAGAAGTATATATATGAGGCTTTTTATTTGCAGAACTTCTAGTTTTTAGGTTTCTTCTGAAAAACATGATTTTAATTTCTGCGTAGAACGAACTATGAATGTTTATATTTTCGGTTAATCCATGTATAAATCTTTTAAAATCATAAATCCATTTTGAGTCTTCCATCCGATCTAAATAGCTAAATTAACTTCGAATGTTAACATTTTACTTCTGTTTTCAATTAAATTTTTTTTTACTTTTAACTGAATTTCATCAAATATTTATGTGCAATCACATACAATTCAAATCAGAGCAGATATTGGTAACTCTAAAACCCGAATCCTGAAAATTCAGATCGGAGCAGATTTGTTCATCTGATCAGCCATTGTCTTTAGATTAATGGCGGACCCTAATATGATCGGGACAAAGTACCAATTTTAGGATAATAGTACATAGCATTATATCCATAACATTTTTCCAGCAGTCATCAGCTACCCGAAAGTGAACAGTAACACCATGAGGAGCAGAACAGTAACACCATTGATCGTAGGTAGCATACTAATTGTCTTGATATTAATTGCACATTAATCTTTGGAACAGTGTAGTAAACCTTAAGGAGCAGAAGATATGGAAAAGGGAAATAGAACAATTAAAAACGTCGTACCTCCTTGGCTCCAATGAAACTATATATGCAAAAACAATGAAATTACTGCAGGTCAAAGATGTTATTGCAAGTTGGTATGGAGGTCAGCATTAGCAGATGTAGTAATTGTAAGAGGGAAGTTAAAAGTAGTGTGCCATTGAATTGATATTCATCGTGTTCAATTGCAGCTTATGGAATGGAAGAATCTCTGATTCCGACTACATTGCATGAAAAATATGTAAAATTGAAGCTAATTGCCCAATTGATCTAAATCATTGGTTTGGCAGGTACATATTCGAGAATTGGATGAACCTGAAATCGACACACAGCAAGTAGTAGTGGTCACCTTGCGTCTTATATGATTAATCTACTATCAATGCTTTCTTCACCACTTCATATTTCTCTAAGAAAGTAAGAACAAGCAAGAACACATAGTTTGAAACAAGAAAGGATGCAATTCTCTGTTGCAGGGTATAAATAGGAGTGGAACAAATTTGCTCTGTGATTATAGTTTGAGAAGACTGATGCAGGGCAGATAGTGAGAAGTTTCAAAGGGATTCTAAAAATGAATAGTTTGTTTTTTTGTTGTATCTNTGCAGGGTAGATACTGAGAAGTTTCAAAGGGCTTCTAAAAATGAATAGTGTGTTTCTTTGTTGTATTTAAGAGGTATGAATATGCGAATGTGGCATGTATTGCTGCCCCAATTGGAAGCACATCCTCATCAATGGTGAAGTAAGGACTATGTGGAGGGTGCATAGATCCAGTTCTTTCATTTCTTATACCCAAAAAAAGGAAGGATCCAGGTACCTTTTCTAAGTAAAAGGCGAAATCTTCACTCCCCATGAAGGTAGGAGTTAATTTTGTGTTTTCTCTGCCTACAATCATACTCGAGACCTGTTGTACCTGTTCAAATATTCTTTCATCATTTATGGTTGGCGGAATTGTGGGGTGTTCCTTTCCAAAGAAGTCAATTTCAGCTGAGCACCGATGAACAGCAGCTTGCCCTTTTATAACCTGATGTGCATAAAACATTATGTATTATTATGCATACAGAAAACAACATGAACATAATTGTGTATCACAAAGATTGTTAACCAGTTACCTCTTCTATTCTTTTTCTCAGTGCATAGAAGCTCTTCTTGCTGAATGCTCTATATGTACCAGCCATTGTAGCTGAGTCAGGAATTACATTATATCCAGTTCCCCNGCTCTTCTTGCTGAATGCTCTATATGTACCAGCCATTGTAGATGAGTCAGGAATAACATTATATCCAGTTCCTCCTCGAATCATTGTTACAGAAACCACCTGCAAGATCCAATTCCACAATGTGTGAAAACACAGTTTGATTGAGTTCAATCAAATGAACGACATAATCTGATTAAGACATCATGGAAATGGTCGAAAAGAAATCATACTTGAGGATCTAAAGGGTCTGTCTCTCGGGAAACAATATTCTGTAAGCTAATTACANCAGTTTGATTGAGTTCAATCAAATGAACGACATAATCTGATTAAGACATCATGGAAATGGTCAAAGAGAAATCATACTTGAGGATCTAAAGGGTCTGTCTCTCGGGAAACAATATTCTGCAAGCTAATTAGAGAACTAGAAAGTGCTAGTATGGGATTAATGGACTGTTGTGGCATCATTGCCTGACCCCCTTTCCCTCTGATTGTTGCTTTGAAGCTCCCACACCCGGCTAGAAACTCACCTGGCCGAGCAGCCACCGTACCAATAGGATACCTGTGCACTATGTGCAAACCAAATATGGCCTCTACATTTTCGAGCACCCCTTCGTGGATCATGTCTTTTGCACCTTCACCTTGTTCCTCAGCTGGTTGAAATATAAGAACAACAGTTCCCTACAAGAGAAAATGTTGTATTAGATTTGAGACTATGCTGGGAACTAATGAGTTGTATAATTTGAATGCTGTTGCTTAATAAACGCATTCACCTGTAATCTGTCCCGGAATTGTTGCAGTATCCTTGCAGCACCAAGAAGCATGGTGACATGTGCATCGTGTCCACAGGCATGCATTTTTCCATCTACTTGGCTCTTGTGCTCCCATTCCACCATTTCCTACATATAGCAGTGTGTTTTTGTTAAGATCTTCAAGCCAACTATAGGTAAGTCTGAGACAACACATACTACATTATAATCTAATGGTGGATAGATTCAATGAATGAACATCACTTTCGATTATTGCTGTTCATTAGAGCTCAATTTGGCCCTTGCTCAATAAATTTCCAGTTCCAAGTGAACTAAAATCCAGGATCAGGCTCACCTTCTTCTCAGAATTATGTTTGGCAGTCGGTGGAACTATAATCCTAGATTCCCTCTTCCTCATAAATTAAATCCGTGATAAGGTAAAATGGAAGGAAATGTCTCAATATTATGCCGTCATGTTACAAAATAGGTCAGTAACATGAATTCCCTCTTCCCCTGTGGTTTGCAAGCCAAACTGAAACCAATACTTGCATGCATCTCCTGCTATTGAAGTCAGCACATTAAAACAAGCCACCAGTGCAGTGACACATACACCTTCCAGCACGACTAGCCGCTACCATTTGTATTTGGTTTCTCCCTCTACTTTCTCATTGCGTTTTTCGGTTGCATTTTGTCCCCTTCCATGCAAGTTAATTGTTCTACTAAAAGTCGTTAGTTGGACACTATGAGTAGTTAGACATTAGGAGGGCCGGTGAGTAGACATACTAGTATTCTATTGCCCATTTTATATCCAAATATAATGCTATTTAAAGATAAGAACAACTTTACAAATTAGTATTTACAAATTACTTTAGTCAAAATATGAAGTCACCTTATCACGAGCATTTGTTGCATCAATTAAATCAAAGCTAAGAGACAATTCGGGTTGATACGAGACCTTCGCCCTCAACTAGTCTTCTTTTTGGGAGATTAGGCGCCTAGCCTCAGATAGAGCAAAGCGGATTTCAGTAAAACAATATGATATGAGTGTTTGTTCTGCTTTCATCAAGGGGCAAACAGATGAAATAGAATTGCTAATCTATTTCACCAACTCCTTATTAAACAGTTAATCAATTAAACTTGTTCTTTCTCAACTGTTCATTAAATTAACAGAAGGCAACAACAGAGTGAGATCATTCTATTCTATTATAGTTTCACTCAATTTTACTCAACAATAGTTCACCTGCCATGAATTCAAATAAAAAAACCCATGTAATTCCCCCATCAAAACCCTCTTGGTAATTTACCCTCCAAAAAAAATTGAGGAAAACCTGGATCAGGTAAGAACCACTTCTTGGTGGGCACAACTGAATTCATAATACCCATTTATTGGTAGCTATTGATCACTAAAAGTTGCCTCAAAACTCTGTATTATATAGACCTCTTCAAACACAGCAAATTATCTAAACTATGGTTTCGCCAATAAAACAAATGAACTGACCTGAATCGGTAAGGCATCCATATCTGCTCTTAGAGCAACAAAAGGTGGGGAACCAGAACCAACGGTGGCTACGACGCCGGTCTCCGCCACAGGCCACCGATATTGAATACCCATTTCGTCAAGCTCACGCCTAATCAGTGAGCTTGTATTGAACTCTTCGTAAGCAAGTTCTGGGTTCCTGTGAATCTCCCTTCTCACCTTCTTCATCCAGTTCACCGTTTCTGGGTCATTTGCTACCCTGATTATATCATCTTTCAATGGAAGATCTTGGCCGCTTGCAGAGGCAGTCAAGCCATTAGTGTCGAGGATTGAAGGTTGCAAAGACAAGCAGAGGTGTATGGAAATGGATATTAGGAGGATAAGTTGGGGTAGGTTCATCATAGCATTGAAAGTCTAAAATTTCGACTCCAATTTAACACACTATTTAGATAAGAATGTGTGAGACACCAACGTGGGACTGCTATTTATATGGTTGGTGATTGGCTAAGAATAACAACCTTTCCTTTAGTATTCGTTATACGACGAATGTTTGTCTCATGAAAGAAAGAAAACACGTGCTGAAAATGGGAGCCGGTGGCTGCATTGACTAGTCATCCAACATTGCCCACTAAAACTCCAAACATCTGTTGAGGATTACTTTTTTTATTTTTTTATCCATCGTACCGCACGGCATTAAAGTAGATGTGGTTCCTTTGTCAATTTCGGAGCAATTCAAACCCAAGACAAAAATAATCCGTAGGTAAATCGTGTTTAGCTCTTGGGAACACAATTTAGGTTAAAATTTAGATTCATTCAAATTGAATTCGTGTTCAACCTAGATTAGGCTCAATTTGATTCACTTATTAGCATAATTAGGATGCAAATTGGGTAAAATTTGAATATAAGAACTCGGGTGAATTTCGAGGTTTCGAGACCCCACTACCAAGTGACCAGAATTTAAATCAAGTTAATATTTTTTTTTTGACTAACCCCAACTTACTAAAACTCTTTTATCATATCCAAAACTTTGGATTGAGCTTGGGTTAACTAACCCAGCCAAGTTGCAATTCCTGTAATACAATAGTCTGTACCAATTGGGTGGTCTGTTTTTCTTTGTTCTTTTAACTTTTTTTTTTGTGTGAATATATTAGTCTACATCATTGAATGTTGAATTAGAACTATATCTTTAAGCATATGATGACATGTTTAGGACTTTTTCGCAAGGATATATCTTATACTAGCTCTTATCCAGAATATATAAAACACGCAAGCAACAGTAATTAGTCATTACTTCTGTTTTGTTTGCTAGTTTTTACCATATTTGGGAAATGGATCTCATACAAGGGGTGGGACTTAGTCCGACCCAATCCAAGTAACCCAATCAAATTTGGGCATAGACAAAAACTATTTTTCTCAACGGTCAAAGATGTCTATGTTAACTTATGTGTATCTCGATTAATCTCTTTTTCTGTCTGATCAAAAGCAGACCATCTACACCAAGACTACTAAGGTTCAAATTCAAGATGTCTAAATTTACATCTCGTCTCTATTACCACTTAAACTATATATATTTGAAATTATAGACAAACTTTTCCCCAAATCATTACGGCAAACCATGATCAGCTGTATTGCCAATTCTATCCATTCCAAACCTTTAGCGTGTGTTTGGGTAGTGGGTTAAGAGCCACAAGAATAGCTTAACAATGAAGTGAGTTCCATATATCCACTATTTGGTAATTAAAAAATGAGAGAGGATATAAATCTCAGGTCAAATCTTGACCCAGATGCTACAATAGAAATTATCCAATGTACATGGGTTAAATGTAACCCACCCCTCCATGGGTAACAATTCTATCAACCAGGTTAACCAAGTAAAAAGATGGGCTTAACCCTCTCTCTTTCTTAGATATTTTGCTACACCTTACCGAAGGATCCTTCACTTTCATCCAAGTAGGTCATAGGCGATCATCAACTGCATTTATGATAAGCTTCTTCTCATCGACTAACTCTCTCACTCTCATTGACTCTCTGCATATCTACCTCTCATCATCTATCATTCTCATTGATTCTCTCAATCTCTCACTCACTTCACTTCTCTCTCAATCTCTCACTCAGAATTGATCGTCTTGCGACTGTTGGACCAGTGGACCTGTGATATGTGCCTCTCTCCACCTTCTAGACATCGTTCTAGATAAGGTATTATCTTTACTCCCTCTCCCCCTCGCTATAACCTGTAGCCGGTCTGCAGACAATGGTTTCTTCTACTTTTTTTTTTCACTTGTTATATAAAATGTCTTCNTTGGGTGGTCTGTTTTTCTTTGTTCTTTTAACTTTTTTTTTTGTGTGAATATATTAGTCTACATCATTGAATGTTGAATTAGAACTATATCTTTAAGCATATGATGACATGTTTAGGACTTTTTCGCAAGGATATATCTTATACTAGCTCTTATCCAGAATATATAAAACACGCAAGCAACAGTAATTAGTCATTACTTCTGTTTTGTTTGCTAGTTTTTACCATATTTGGGAAATGGATCTCATACAAGGGGTGGGACTTAGTCCGACCCAATCCAAGTAACCCAATCAAATTTGGGCATAGACAAAAACTATTTTTCTCAACGGTCAAAGATGTCTATGTTAACTTATGTGTATCTCGATTAATCTCTTTTTCTGTCTGATCAAAAGCAGACCATCTACACCAAGACTACTAAGGTTCAAATTCAAGATGTCTAAATTTACATCTCGTCTCTATTACCACTTAAACTATATATATTTGAAATTATAGACAAACTTTTCCCCAAATCATTACGGCAAACCATGATCAGCTGTATTGCCAATTCTATCCATTCCAAACCTTTAGCGTGTGTTTGGGTAGTGGGTTAAGAGCCACAAGAATAGCTTAACAATGAAGTGAGTTCCATATATCCACTATTTGGTAATTAAAAAATGAGAGAGGATATAAATCTCAGGTCAAATCTTGACCCAGATGCTACAATAGAAATTATCCAATGTACATGGGTTAAATGTAACCCACCCCTCCATGGGTAACAATTCTATCAACCAGGTTAACCAAGTAAAAAGATGGGCTTAACCCTCTCTCTTTCTTAGATATTTTGCTACACCTTACCGAAGGATCCTTCACTTTCATCCAAGTAGGTCATAGGCGATCATCAACTGCATTTATGATAAGCTTCTTCTCATCGACTAACTCTCTCACTCTCATTGACTCTCTGCATATCTACCTCTCATCATCTATCATTCTCATTGATTCTCTCAATCTCTCACTCACTTCACTTCTCTCTCAATCTCTCACTCAGAATTGATCGTCTTGCGACTGTTGGACCAGTGGACCTGTGATATGTGCCTCTCTCCACCTTCTAGACATCGTTCTAGATAAGGTATTATCTTTACTCCCTCTCCCCCTCGCTATAACCTGTAGCCGGTCTGCAGACAATGGTTTCTTCTACTTTTTTTTTTCACTTGTTATATAAAATGTCTTCTTTTTTCAATCTTGTGCTTTTGAGTTCAGATCCTACGGTGTGTATCCTTTAAGCTTCTCTCTCTCTCTCTCTCTCTCTCTCTCCCCGTAGCGAACGCCAACAAAGCTAGTTCGCTGAGGTACACCCAGAACGCGAACATTTTTTTATCCCATGCTAATAGACATTGATGACTGGATATCTCTCATTGTGTCCAACTTGTTGGGAAGAAGCTTCTCTGTTGGCCTTATTGTCCAAGTTATTCTAGTCATGTGAAATGAGTTATTGTTGATTGTCATATCTTGGATTGCCCAAAATTTATGTAGCACTGCTCTGTTTATCTAAGTTAATCATGTGCTACACCAATTGGAAAATGGTGGGTTACTGAATTCACTACTATGCTCTTGTGACCGGCATGCATTGTAGCTCTGAATGTTGCCCCATTTTTGTTATGTATTATATAAGGCAACATTAATTTCAGTTGTTATTGGTAACACATATTCACCAAGTTGCCTTATTTTTGTTATAAGGCAACATATATTACAATTACGTATGTTTAATACGTAACTATTATGTATTACTCATATGTTATTACTCATACAAATTATTATTTTATTTTTATGTGTTTTTATGTATATATGAAAAATGTATAATTTTATTAAGATAATCCACCAATCCAAACATAGGATATGATTAGTTTGGATTTGAATGGATAGAATGGTAAACTATTACAAAATTATTTGTGTAATTTATGAGGCCCACTGAATTACACATTTGTTTCTCAAACAAAAGTTAAGATTGAATATAACCTTGGGTTAGAATTTTAAAGTGGACGAGTGTGTTTGGTTTGAATGAGTTGGGATATAAAAAAAGAAATCCTATCATATCCAACTTCATTACCCAAACACACCCTTAGTGAGAACTTTTTAAGGGGAAAGAAGATTGAAAAAAATAGTGCTTGGATTCTTCTTATCCCATCTATTCTCATATTTAGTTAGACATTTTGGACTCAATATTATCACATATAAATAATTCATGCCTGGATGAACAGTGCATTAATATCCATGAACACCTTCTTAACTAAACTCACATATTTGGTAGGTTAAAATAATGAGGTTGTCGAATATTTGTACATAATATATTTTTATCCTTGGAATCATCATTCAATACTCCATCAAGTGTTGTAAGGGATTAGGGTAGGCCACAACTTTTTAATACTTCAATCAAACAAATGATAAGAGACATGATTTTAGATTTGCATTATTTTCACTGGATGTATGGGCGTGGTTGGATCGGTTGACATACCCCGCTTCCAAATATTCCCCATTAATATGTTTTCTCTCAATTTTTTTTCTCTCATTTTAGTTCATTAATTTTTTTTTGAAAAGGAATTTCATTAAATTAAAAGTTAATATCATTTTTCATCCTTAAAGTATGTAATTTTTTATCAGTTTAATTTTTATTATATCAATTTTATCAATATGATTCATAAAGTATTCAACTCGTGTCATTTTTGGTTCCTATATAAATTGAACATTAAATTTTTGACGGATGATCACGTGTTGAGCACGTAATAACGTTTAAAAAATTAACAGGTGGTCACTTACGTCAAAAAACTTGAAAGATTATCTGATCAGAAACTAAAGTGACACAAAGTAAATATTTTAAAAATTAAATTGACAAAATTGATACGATAAAAATTAAATTAATAAAAAAATACATACTTTAATATCAAAAAATGCTATTAACCCTAAAATTAAAATGACAAAATTTAGCGAGATGGAGGCAAAACCGGAGGCTAGCCTCAAGCTCAGGGACACAAAACAGTCAAAACCTCTCTCTCTCTCCTGTAAACCCTCTCTTCCACAAAACTACCAAACCTCCAACCATGTCCAAAACAACCAATTTCTTCAAAGGTTCATAAACAAATAGCTTTCTTCATTTCTTTCATCGAGGACACCTCTCATCTCTGTCAACAATTAAACAATGTCAATATCACTTGTTCTTCTCCTCCTCCTTCTTCCATCTCTAACCCTAATTTCTTCCACAGAATCAAAGCTCACCACTGACTACTACAACAAAACATGCCCAAAGTTCCACGAAATCATGCAACAACTCATCACAGAAAAGCAACTCGCATTCCCCACCACCGCCGCCGGAACTCTCCGCCTCTTCTTCCACGACTGCATGGTTGAAGGCTGCGACGCCTCCATCCTTATCTCCTCCAATGCCTTCAACGTTGCCGAACGAGACACCGAAATTAACTATTCTCTCTCTGGTGATGCCTTTGACCTAATCATTCAAGCCAAAACCGCCCTCGAGCTTCAGTGCCCTGGCATTGTCTCCTGCTCCGATATACTTGCCATCGCCGCCCGGGATTTGGTCACCATGGTCGGAGGTCCTTATTACGAGGTTCAGCTCGGCCGAAAGGACAGTCTTGTATCAAAAGCCCCAGAAGTTGAAGGCCATATTGCTAGGCCTAACATGACTATGGCTGAAATTGTCTCCATTTTTGCTTCAAGTGGATTCAATGTACAAGAAATGGTGGCATTGTCCGGTGCACATACAATAGGGTTCTCTCACTGTTCCGAATTCAGCCATAGAATCTTCAACTTTAGCAAGACTTCAGATTATGATCCATCGTTAAACCCTAAATATGCACAAGGGTTACAAAAACTCTGTGAAAATTACACAAAAGATTCGGGAATGGCGGCGTTTAACGATGTGATGACACCGGGAAAGTTCGATAACATGTACTACTTGAACTTACAAAGAGGGTTAGGGTTGTTGGCATCAGATCAAGCTCTTGCTTCTGACCCAAAAACTAAGCCGTTTGTGGACTTGTATGCCTCAAATCAGACTGCTTTCTTTGAGGCTTTTGCTCATGCAATGGAGAAGGTTAGTGTTTATAAGATAAAGATTGGGAAGATGGGAGAGGTCAGGCACAGATGTGATGCTTTCAATTCCATTCCAACAAGTAATTAAGAAAGAACCTGCTTAGGTTGGGATCAAAAAGTACTTAACAATAGGAAGAGACATCAAAATTTGAATTTGGTGCATGACCGTTAGCAAACGAAATGGCGATGAAGATTTTTGATGTATTTTATGTATCACCATAGTGTTATAAACCTATTGTTGATGGAATGATAGTTTAATTCTTTCAGTAGTGCTAGTGCCTCTCTCATTTTTTTTTGGAAAGATAGTGCCTCTCTCTTTTATTATATTTCCCTTTACGAGTAATCATATAATGTAAGGTGGTACTGAATGTTGTCCAAGCAAACTTTTAGTTTTATGTTGTAACATTAACCTTCTTTTTTTTTTTGTTGAAATAATCTAGATTTAGAAGTGCTTCGCGGCCGTGTGGTTTGGCCACAGCCTTTCTTCTCTCTCTTGCTACCTTTATGTTATGCGAATGGCGTGAACCAGGGACAATATCCGACATGAAATCAAACAACAGAAATTATTGATAATTTGACAACCATTTTGTTGCCCAATAAAATTTGGAGAAGAAAAAATGCCAAAAGGAACCCGTTCGGACCAAAAAAAAAAAGAACAAGAAAAAAGAAGTGGACATAAATCATGTTATTGAAAGGTTGTAATAGAAAACATGCATCATATTAGCCAACCCTTTCATTGATATGCTAAGAATGTCAAATTTTAATGGTTTTAAAAAACCATTTATTCATTCATATGCCTCATCGATATATCATACACAAGTCGCAAACATTTATCAACCATGGAAAATTGTACTCGACCCCCTCGTCCCATGACATAGGCACCATCAAATGCATGACATTATTGCTTCTAGTAGAATCTCTGAGAAATAAGTAATAAATAACATCACCTCCCATTTGAATGACAATAGTTTCTGACGAGCCCAATTCTTACCGGATCTGGCCCAACCAATCAATTGGAGCCTAAATCAGCTGCAGGTAAAGTCCAGTTCATCAATTCAATTCGGTCTAAGGTTTAAAGGGTCTAAAAAAATTATAGCACGTGAGTAGTAATTATCGGGATATTCACTCTCGATGATCAAGGCTATCTTAATTGTACTTATCTTTTGTAGCTATACTTCCGAGAAACTAGTGTTTTTATTCTCACGCCACCACTTCAACAAAGGTTCAATGCTTATAAATTGTAAGTCTTCTCTACATGAGAGGACACGTTGAACTTTACCTCTACACCTCTCTGCACACACATAAATTTTCTCCTAGCTATTGTACCTCTCCCAGAGCACATCTCTCCCAAAGCTTTCTCTCTCTTACTTTAGTCATTAATAAAGATCACCGGCCACCGTTGTCGTTTTCAGAGTAAATTAGGTCACACAAACTGAACCACTATATATCTATGTATTGACTCAATATTTACATTACTGTCATTGATTGTTTTATTTATTATCTATTAATTGTACCTTATCACACACTCAACTGTTGATCTTGTACGAGACTATTTTGTGTACCATCAATTTCAACTAAACCTCTTAAGATTGAAAAATCTCAATAAATTTAAGAAAGCTTTTAAGAAGAGAATCAAATCAGACTCAATTAGACTGTTATGTTTACGATGATTAGCTTAAGGACACGAGCCACCTTGCATATTGAAGGCTAGCTATTTGTTACCATTGTTTTAATACTTAATACATTATTGTCTTAATATCCTACGTAATAAGTTTAATTAGCGCCATAAGATTCTAAGGTATCCTTATCAATTTTTTAGTTATGAATAAAATTATACCCCCACTCAAACAAGATTAATTAAACAAACTTAGTGTTTAAGTTTTATAATATTCTGCAAGCAACGCATGTATTTAGAAAAAAAATCTAACATTTTTATATAATTTAGTATCCCATGTTTTAAAAAATATTAGAGATGAAGACAATATTATTTTAAGTTATCATCGTTTAATAATTTTAATTTGGTATCCCATTATATATTTTTCATTTCATGAAAATCATAAAATTAATTTCACATATATAGAGTGATAACTCTGACCCGTTGATATAAACTCAATATGAACAATTATAAAATTGACACGATTATTAAATGCATATAATAAATAATTTATACTAATGTTTAATACTCATAATACATTAAATAGATTTTTTTTTTTCGAATCTTGGCAAAAATACGAAACAAAAAATAATGACACGACACAAATAATACAACATGGGGTCACATGAACACACCATGAGTGACACCCTACACTTATGCGCCATATGAAACTATAATTGAAAAAATCGTAACTGGTATACATAATCACCAGGCTTAATTCTATGGGCTATTGGAAAAACAAAAAGTTCAAAAAACCAATATCATTTTTATTTAAAAAAACATCAACACAAATCCAAACACTAATAATAACGACAGATCCATTAAAGGACCCACAAAGTGGGCCCCGTTAGTATCTCTCTCCGCCGGCGTCGACGACGATGTCCCATTAAAATTCGGGTTCGACCCGTATAAAACGTGGATCCCCTCTACATCATCGTTAGCAAGCTCAACCTTTCTCTGACCTGCCGTTATAGTCGGGTACATAATCGATTCTTCGACCGATGAATGACCCAAACCCAGCAAATGCCCGATCTCATGAACCGCCACGGACTCCAAATCTACGGCCGAGACAAGCGATGGAGAATTGATAAGGTTAGCGTCAACCACCCAGTTTTCGTCACCGTCCAAGTGAAACCTTCCACTTGGCGGCGAAAACGCGTGAGCTAACGTTCCTAGAGGCCCATCGAACGGCTCACCATCTCCGTGGTCCCCACTAAAGAAACCAATTCTGATATCAGCGGCGGAAAACGACGCCGTTTCAGTGAAAGTCAAGGGAGTAACCTCAGACCACCGTTCAAAGGCCCGGGAGAACACGCTCTTGGCAGAGTCTGAGAGTTGATTTTCCGGCGAGAACGCATAGGTTAAGTCGGTCTTCCTCTCCGGCCAACGTGGCTTGCCGGCAAAGAAAGAGAAATGAGAGACAGTGTGAAGGTGGATCGACGACGCGGAGGGTGATTTCCCGGAATTCATTGAACTTGTGCCATTGATTATATCGGCGTTGCCGCATCTGGGTGATATGAGTTTTTTGAGTGTTGGTCCGTCGAGCACGCCAGTGGTGTTGAGGTTGAAGTTCCGCTGGTACGTTCTGAGAGCTGACTCGAGAACATTGTCGAAGTCGTCGGTGAAGTTAGTGGAGTTGTTTATGTAGCCGAAGTACTGAAAGTATTGCTTGAGTTTGGCTATTCCGTCGACTTGCTGGCCGGTGTGGCAGCCGAGGAGTTTGACAAAGCTTGCCCAGGCGCCGGCGGTGGTGTTTGGGATGAGGTTAGGGGGTAAGGAAGACATGTTGGGGAAGAAATGAGCAGAGGTTGGGGTTGTGAAAATGGATATTAGAAACAGAGCAATGAATGCCTGGACATTCATGTTTGTGGATGTTTGTTTCGCAACAGGTTGTTAGGACAACTTGAACTTGAAATTCAGAGGTTGAGGATGAAATAAAAGGAGGGTTTGGAATGTTCTTATTGTTGTGTGTGTAACAAAGCGACAGGTTTTGAGCTTGGAACAAAGTTTAGAGGCCGGCAGGTTTAAATTTTCTTCACGATCATTGTTAAAATTCGAATTTATTAATTAATGTTATTATAATAATTTATTTAATAGAGAAATTAAGTTAATAAATAATTTTAAATAACATTATAGTAAAAAGGTGCTAATTGTTGCGTTCCCGGCACAAACTTCATTGATTTTTCTATGGTCGATTCTCAATGTATACCTATGTACCTAATTTCTATTTTATTCATTAAATAATTACAAACAATTAAATATTTAAATTTTCAATGAAGTTTCAATTGAATTCTTCTATTAAATTCGTTATCAATTCCTCCACTTCACACACTAATTATTCTATTTGAAGTTAATTATCTAGTACTGTTAAAGAAATAAATAATTTAATCATTTAGGCTAATTGAGTATTTATTAAAGAGACCAACATCCATAATAAACACATTTGCAATAACTGATCTATATAGTAATTATAATCAATTGAATCGGATAATATTAGACAAGCGTGAAACATACGATAAATTGTCTAGATAATATTAGACAAACATACAAGAAAATATCTCGACTTGATGCCCATGTCAGGAATCCGCCTCTAATAAATTCTTCAACCTTTCTTCAATTTGAAATTAATCCACAATGCATATCAAAAGGTTAAGCCAAAGTCGAAAATATATAGAGTGAATCCTTTTAGTATATTGTTTATCTATTGCTTTTTTTTTTGTTGAATTATTTATTATAAATTCAAATAAAACTCATTACATATAAACAAACTTAACCTCCATGTTTACAAGTTTTTGGCTGGGGAGCCGTCTAAGCCCATCGGCATATTTGGTATCCCAAAACTTGTTACAAAGTGATGATACACAAAAGTGGGTTTATACAAAATTAATCAAAGATGAAGTAAAAAGGATTCGATACCAATAAACACAAAAATTAAGTGATTTGGTCTGAGCAACCTACTCTATTGAGAATGACGACGGTGGCCGAAAAATATTATTATTTGAGAGGTATATTGTGCTGAGATGTATGTGATGCCCCCATGTGAAGGTAGAACTTACAATTTATAGGGGAGTACAATCTTCACGACGCTCCAAGGCAAACTTTGATGGTGGCGCCATCGCATGGAGCCCTGATTAAGGCGTCACCTCTGTAACAGGAGTGGGTGACTTCGTGATGTTAGAATAATAGGCGAGGTGGTTGAGGCTTATGATGCATACCCTGATTCTCTTCCTAAGATGGAGATGTTACATGCATCACTAGTAGACTGGGTTTTTCAAAACGATGGGTTTGATCCTTGTTGGTTTGTATTTCTAAACTGGGCATGGCCTGTCATTTGACCACCATGCCCCGAGCCTTATGGGATTTAGGAGAGAGGGCAGCAATAAGAAGTCTTGTTCTTGTCCTCTTTTAGCAAGTGAACTCTGATGGTTCACGAGAAAACTACATCTCTTGAGGCTGAGTTTCTAGAAAATTGAGGCTGCTTGCGTAAGAGCAAAGACAGAGTTAGCTAAAACTTTTGGCGTCTTACAATAGAACCGCTAAGTTGGAGACTGACTACTTGCATGTGAGCAATTAGGCAGCGACTAGTGAGGGAATCACTAAGCTAAAAACTGAGGCTGGTTGTGTAAAAGTAAAGGAAGAATTAGGCCGAGGTTTTAGTGACTTACGAGAGAGCCGCTAAGCTTGATATTTAGGCTATTTATGTGTGAGCAGAGGTAGAGTTAGACTAAGCTACTAGCGACTTGTGAGAGAGCCACTAAGTTAGGGACTGATGCTACTTGTGTGAGAGTAGAGACAGAGTTAGGCCGAGCTTTTGGCGACTCGGGAGGTTCTCTCGCAAGAGCTGGAGATAAGGAGGGAGATGACAGTGAAGGTAGCCAGATGGTGCCATCAGGATAAAGCCGATAGAGCATGGATGTCAGCCACTTGAGGCGAGGGCACTAGGATGGGTGACGCCAGGCGCCAAGGGCACGCAATTCGTGTGGCACCAAGGCAGGCGGTGTGCGGATGAGGAGACAAGTGCCAATACGAGGGTGATGAAATGCCTGACCTAGCGTTGGGCATCGTGGGGTTTGGAGTTGGGCCTATTGTGTGCTAGGCGACGAGGTCGCACAGTGCCTGAACATTATGCACTAGATGGAATATTAGAAAAGGATGAAAATATGACAAAAATTTGAACAACCATAAATTTGCCCTTGGTTGTTTGTTTTAGGATAATTGTTTTTTTGGAATCTGGTCATTTTTCTGAGATCTACTAGAATCAAATAGCCTACAATAGTTTCAACCATAGTTTTAAAACCCAGCAAGTCATTCCGGGGAACTGGTGCTCAAACCGGGTTAGTTCTCATAAAAGACCATTTGTACATTAAACCCGGGATCAAATCGCTGAACTAGTCAAAAATCGGTGAACCCGTGTGAACCAGACAAGTTAACCAAACCGGGCAGTTTAAATTGATTTGTATAAATCTGAGTTTTTTTTACACTTTTTGGGCATTTTGCTCTTTCCCCTAAATTGACTTCTAGACGTCATTCTCATTGCCCTAAATCGAGCCATCAAGATTCCAGACCACCAGCCACCATCGATTGAGCAATGAGCACAGCTCCACGACTGAGCAGCCAATAGCGACTCCACCAGGCACCAGCGATTGCCTCCAATCCAGTGACAAGGTGAGTTCTCTCTCTCTCTCTCTCTCTCAATGACTGTAATCGGTCACCTGGTAAGCAGGATTTTTGGGATTCACAAATTGAGTTATTCATGAGTTTGCGATTTGGATGTTTCACTGTTTTAATTGAACTTGCCTGTCAAAATTATTGTCTCAACATTTGCATAGACACCCAAAATAAGCAGGATTTTGCTACCCAGCTCCTGTTTATTTTCTTCCATAATCATAGTGCTTTATACATATCTCTGTGAAGCATATTCCTTGACAAAGCCATGATATAATAGTGGGAATTGCATGTTAAGGGTAGACTAGATTTGGGTTTTGGTTGCAACTGTTAGGTTTGGGTTTTACATTTATGAACATTGTTATTTTATATTTGGGATTTTGTATTGGGTTTTTCTTTTTTTTGATCAAGGATTTTGTACTGGTAATTTATGAAGTGTGGTATTGTACTTTTTATTTGTGTGTTTTAGCCTATTTATTATTATTTATAATTATTTTTTAATTTTTTATTATATTACCGGTCAAACCAGTGATCCAATGGTTGAACTAATTACCCATTTACCTAGTCCCTTTGTCGGGTTGTCGTCCGGGCCGGGTTTTAAAACTATAGTTTCGACACCGAATTTTCTTAAAAAAAGCTTATTTTTCACTGATTTTGAATTTCAACTACAAATTAATGAAGAAGTAAAATTATCATGTGCCATGTTTCATTCTTGGAAAAGAACAATCTTTATTCAGAATGGATGAAGTCATAGTTCTCAAGGTGAATACTATTTTCAGTACCATTAGATGCTAAAATTTCTAGGATTGTTATTCCTTCCTATGTGAGGACTCAGCTTGCCTAACTTTGGCAACATCCTCAACGTTTGTGTATTTTCTGGGCTCTTGATAATAATTCTAGCATGTTCTTTGGCAGGCGTTTCAAAACTGAAAAAATAAGAGTGGATGAGTGCACGCCTTCTGTGAAGGCCGCCATAACGACTTTGTTATTAGGCTCTTCAATTTGGAAGATCGCGTTGTTAAAACGAATGAGGTAACTCCTTAAACTTCTATTCTAGTCCTGCTTGATGCTGAGCAAGTGGGTGACAAGCTTCTAGTGTTGGCATCTCCCACTGAAATGTGAGATGAATGACTCACTTAATTTAGCAAAATAGTTAATGAAAGCCGAGGTAAGCTCGATGAACCTTTGGCTAGTAGATCCCCTGAATATGGTAGGGAAAAGCCTTGCACATGATTTTGTCTGGTATGTTGTGCAGTTGTATTAGAGATTTGTTGGTGTCAAGGTGGTCTAGTGGTTCTTTAGAGCCAACAAATGTTTCCATGATCAACATCTTGAACTTTGGGGGGAGAGGGTAGTTGTCCACATCAGCAAAAATGGGCATGTTAGTACGCCTCACAAAGTACTTGACCGTTTTAAGCCCTCGTGCTTTCGTGGCGTTGAAGACGTCATCGAGTTGATTATGCACTTCTTTGATTTTTTTTGTTGTAGTGGTTGGGAATGCCTTTTGAATGGTCATTATTGTGGCTCTCGTGGTCCACGTACTGGTTTTTTCTCTCGTCTTATAGGATAGGAAGGTTACCAGAGTGGAAGGACAGAGCCGACATGTGCAAAGCAGGATCAAACGAAATAGAGAGCTCTCTAAATGAAGAAATTGATGACGAGGCCAGCCTGTTGAACCAGGCTAAGGCTGATCCATTCAAGGTAATGGCTAATGCTCGACATTGCACTAGATCCTGTTATCTATGCAATTCCATCTAGTTCTTATAGGCATTCAGGTGATCCATGAGATCCTTTGTCCCATTGAAGGTCTCCATCTGTGACATGATGAATTTTTGGGAGAGAGGATAATACAGGACTTCAGGAGTAAATAGAGACTCCGTTTGCCGGACCAATGCGTCCATTGTCATTGGGATTTTGCCTTTTACAACCTCCTTCATGTGACTAAGCTTTTGGTGGATTTCTTTGAAGCGTTATTCCCAAAATTGTTCCTTTCTTTCTTGTTGGAATGAAGAGAGCTCGTTTCTAAGAGTTCCCCTATTTTGGCTTTGAATCTCCTTATCCTCCTTATTCTTTTGAGCTCTACGGCGGATGTTGCCCATTGAATAGCTATAATTGTTTTCTTCTGTAATATCCCTTAAGGAATTGTGGTGGTAGGGGATCATCGTGGGCTGGTTATGGCCTCTGAGGGTTTTGGACAC